TAACAAAGATTGAAAAAAAAAATGTTTACAACCTTTAATACACTTCTATCATACACATTATTAACAATTGGCTTATCATAGTATTTACGAAATGTCCCAACATTAGTCCAACCAGCTTTGTCCATAATCTCTTGAAGAGGAACTTTATAAAAGTTTGCTTTTGATACAGAAGCAGAACGTACACTATGTGCCGAGAACACATTAACATCCACACCTGCACTACACATTACAGTTTTTATCCATCTAGATATTGTATCACGAGATACCACTTTTATGTGGCTTAATATAGCTTATAAACAATTGATCTTGATCTTGTCGAAGGGTATGTGTTCTCTCCAGATCATGTTTTAGTACGGTATAAACACAAAGTCTCCTGTCAGGTGGATAAGCACACAACACCATATCCGGATTTTTATAACCTGGTCGACTGACTTTTAATAAATCAGTGAATGTGAATACGTAAGATGATTTTTCCACAACCATATTACGCAATCTAAGACAATGTAATGTTTGCACTCTTGTTGCACAAAGTAGTGAAATCAACATGACTAGTTTCAAAGTTAAGTTTTTTAACTTTAATTCACTAACAGGAGAAAGTTTTTGCAAATATGCAAGAACAGGCGAAACATCCCAAATTGTAGAATGGCGAGATTTGTTAGGTCTTAAATTATAAACACCTTTCAAAGACCTAATGACCAAAGGGTGTGATCCTGCTAAAAATTCATCAAATATCAATCCCATAGAAGACAAAGCTCCTCTAGCAGTATTTATTGCACTGTAGCCTAGACCAGAAAGGAACAACTCTGCCAGAAAATTAACAACACTTTCTACAGAAGCCGAAAACGGACTAATTTTCCTCTCACTACAGTACTGAAACCATCTTTTATAAAACACTTTATATTGTTTCTTGGTTCCTGACTTCCATGATGCCAAAATGAGAGAGATTGCTTGGTTAGAAAGTCCTCGTTGCGATAATTGTGTCCGGACACACGGCAAATCATCAGATGTATCGACTTGTGAAGAGGATGTTCTCTTTCGAGACCGGTTGTAACAAAAGGCCTGGCTGAGGCGGTATCATAGCCGGATTCTCTATTAGAAGTTCCATGAGACTGGTAAACCAAGACTGGCTGGACCAAATTGGTGCTACCACAATTGCTTCGGCTTTGTCTAAGCGGATGTTCTGGATGCAGCGACCCAGGAGACTGAAAGGAGGATTAAGATAATAATATAATTCATTCCATGAAAATTAAAAAGCATCGATAAAGGTAGCATTAGGATCAGGTTTCCATGAACAAAATTTTCCCACCTGGCAATTAAGCCTTGAGGCAAAAAGATCAATGTCTGGAAGACCAAACAAATCAACAATTTTTTCAAACACTGATGGGTTCAGCATCCACTCTTTTTGGTCATCAAACTTCCTAGAATGAATATCGGCAACATTTGACTTGCCTGGAATATGACTAGCAGATAGCCAAATATCCTCACTTATACACCATGTCCAAATTTCTTTTGCTAAATTATCACATTGTAATGAATGGATACCTCCCATCTCATTAATATAACATACTGCAGTTACATTATCCAATAAAACCTTAATATGTTTGCCATTAAATTTCTTATCTACATTGAATGATCTTAAGCCATAAAAACAAGCTAGAAGTTCTAGATAATTTATTGAATTACCTGTTTCAAAATCAGACCATCTACCACCAGTTTTTAAGTCATTAAAGACAGCTCCCCAACCTGAAAAGGAGGCATCAGAAATGACAGTAAAATCAATATCACCATGTGAAATTTTTCTACTTTGAGAATCTAAATTATTAATCCACCAAGCTATTTCAGATTTCAAATCATCTGTGATACAAATTACTGAGTCAAAATTATATTTTGAGTATTGCAAGCCCTTAATCTTAGCCCTTTCTAATGTTCTATTGTGCAAAGGCCCGTAATCAGATGCAGAAAAACAGGCCACAACTAACCCAATAACTCTGGCTAATTCTCTAATTTTCACTTTAGAAAGTTTGATAATATCACTAAAAGCTGAAACCATACGCTCCCTTCTTTGGGGTGTGATGGTGACTGTCATTAAAACAGAGTCAATAATATTACCTAGAAATATAACTTGTAAAGATGGCTTGAGAGCAGATTTTTCGTAATTCACAATAAATCCTAAGCTTTCAACTAAAGATATAGTTGAATTGATATTTTCTGAACACTCAGTCTCAGAAATGCCAATTAAAAGAGAATCATCAATGTATGCTGAATTTATATGACCCAATCTCCTGAGAGTGGAATACACAGGTTTCAATAACTTTGTAAATATTCTAGGTGCACTAGATAAACCCTGTGGTAGAGCATTATACTGATAAGCTTTATCATTCCACATAAATCTCAAATATTTTTGATGGTCTGTAGTCATACTAATGGAATAATAAGCATTGGAAAAATCAATGCTTCCAAAAAAACAATTTGGAAAAACAAGAGTGAGTGCCGTTTCAAATGAATCCATCTTAAAGTGATGGTATGTAATAAATTGATTCAAATTTTTCAAATTCAAAATCATTCGATATTTACCATTTGGTTTTTGTCTCACAAAAATAGATGAGTAAAACCAATCTTTATCAAAAGGCACTTCTTTTATAACATTCATTTCCAATAAATTTTGAATTTCATTTGAGATAACCTCACATTTGTCAGAAGGAAATTTTGGCTGATATGGCATTGATTCTTGAAAGGGAGGCAATTCATCTACGAAATCAAGATGATAACCCTTTACAATATCCAAAATTGTTTTATCAGAAGATAATTTTTCCCATTCATTAAGAAACAATGCTAATCTACCAGCCTGGAAACTATCAATTGTTTTACTTGCCTTTAGGTCTTATTTTGGCTCGGTGAGGGGTGACCTTGCCCTCTCTTCTGGAAGTTTTTTGAAGCACCATAATTTGAGCTACTTGCACCAAAACCTCTACCACGGAAATGGCCTCTACTAAATCTTCCACGAAAACCTCTACCACGTGCTGATCTTGCACGATTGTTACTGAATCCTCGACCTTGAGAAATTTTATTGCTGATCCTAGAACAGTCTGAGATGTCCTTAACAGTTTTTGACACATCATCACCAAATAGATGATCAGTGTACTTGAGCGTTTGGCTGCAAAGATGAGAATATTCACCCTTTATGTCTGGTTTCATGTTTTCTCGTCTTATAAAACATAATTGTTTATTTGTATGGCCAAGTAAAGCTAAAGCTTCCAAAGCTTTCTCCAAATTTTCATCTGAACCTTCGTTAGGAGCATATCCCAAGACATCAGTTAACTTGGTCAAGATAATAGCACCTTTAACAAGTGACGTTTGTGCATTCTGTATTTTCTTGTCAGCTATTTTAGTCGAAGCTGCCAAAAATTCCCAAACAAGTTGATTGGTTTTTATATTCACTAGAGAAGTACAATTTTCTGGTCGAGCTATGGTCTTGATCAATTCAAAATAACGATCTTCTTCGATTCCCTCACGGAACCATCCATCAACCAATGAAGCTAATTCATCATTAACTGGAACATCACATTTATCCTTCACACGTAACTTTTTGCCAGCTTGAGAAAACCTGGACACACGTGTCTCACTAGAAGGGGGTATCTCAGAATCAACATCAAGACGAGGTCTCTTATAGTCTGGCTCAAGAAGTGTATCGTCTAAACCCTCATAATTATTTGGGTCATCTTCATATTCTGCAGCTAAAAGATCATCATCTTTATTATAGCCAGTGTTACCATCATCACAATAATACATTTCATCAACTTTACTTGCTAGAGACTCAAATTTAGCATTCTGTGTATTTTGATTTGCCTGAATTGCCTTCAAAACACTTAAAATGTCTACAGAATCTGAAGGTACGTTTTTAATGGAAAGTGCTTTCGATCCCGATTGACTCGAACAGGCGGTATTGTTATTTACATCGACAACACTCGTTTTGCCTTTTGATATATTCGAACCTGGTAACTGCAAATCAGAACCTTTCGAACCCGAACCACTTGGAGATGAAGGAACCTCATGTTTCTTCTTCCCTTTTTGATTATTCGCTCCAACAGAAGGATTATTATTAGTTTTTTTCATACCAATATCCAACAACTGAGCACTCGCCATCGTAACCAATGTAAACAATATGGCGTCTAAATACTCTCGTCTAGAGACAAAACAAAGTGTTTCTATCTAAACGAATGTTTTGCTAACACAGATATAAACTCATCGACCACGTCAACAAGTAAACCTGATAAAACTTAACCAGTGACAAAACCACGTCCTGTCACAACGGCTTAGAGCAGTTCAATGATTTGTCACGGCTGCGCAGTACTATTCACATAATCTCGAAAGTGAGACTTTACGAGAAATAATTAATTGTACCACCAGGGCCATAACTTCATCAAGGCAAATGAAATAAATGCATTGAGCCGAATTTGACAGGAAAAAAATTGTATAAAAATTAGAAATATAGGTTAATTATTATATCTGCTAAATAATGGCTGTGGTCTATGGTAAAGATAGTTACAGTTTACCAAAAACCTTCTACTGAAAGACAACCGAATTTTAGCCGCATAAAAAATGAACCTTGTTATGGCCCTGACCATATTTGCTAATTATCCATAAAGGGATATACATCAAAACGTAAAATAATGTCGGAATCTGGCCTGGTATACCAGTTGTAGCTCTCCGGAAAGTCCCATGCTGACTTTTCTTTGGATCCAGTCCCTGACCCATTGGAAAACTTTTCAAGGAATTGTCAAAATATTAACTGATGCAACAGCACCACTAAGCAGACTGCTTTGAGCATCAATGTTGAATAATTTCAAATCTCTCCATATACGGTAAATCATCATCATACAAATGTTGAATCGTGTTTGACAAGCGTGGACATAGTCAAACAAATGTATGATGATTTTTTGAACAAGATGATCGTGTAGACGGGGCTTAAGAGATACTCTCTTATTGAAAGCACTGGCCTAGGTCACATGTAGATATTTACAAAATAAATAAATAATTCAAAAAATATAATGTAATTACTCCAGGGAGTTAACGAAAGGGGATCTTATCTACCATGGACAAGAACATTACTCAGATTTTTATTTCTCGATCGTTCTATCCAGAATCTCTCTCTTTGAAATCGCATAGATTTTGGTTTGGTTGATGTAAAAACAGAAACCTTTTCTATGGCAAAGAAGATCTTCAATGGTATGATTGGGTGAATTAAAACTTTCATAATAATGGAGTACAGTGGCGGGGCCAGGTTTACGTTCGAGAGGGGGCGTGATATCTGAGATTGTCCGAATCTTTAACCTAGTTTTGCGTCACGGACGGAGTACCTATATATCGGAACAATTGCCGCTTAGTCATGTTCACATTTTGTTCTGTTTAATATTGCAGGCAGTACTTCTACTGTATTGTCAACTTTTTTCTGCAATGAATTCAATTTCAAGTATCTGGTGTTTTAATTATTTTACAATTTCCATTTCAACAAAGTCAATTTCGTTGTGTTTTTCTGTTTGACGACTTTCTGTTATAGACTTAAATGTATTATTGAAGCCTTTTTAAGCGCCCACGTGAAATGTGTGTGTGTGTAGGAGGGGGGGGGGGGGAGTGTAGGGGCGTATAATGGCTTCACCCAAGTCCGTCCGTCCACAATTGCTTGTAAACACTCTGAAGGCACAATTCTTTACGGATTTTGCCGAATCCTGGTGTAAGTGTTTGTAATCACCCAAGGATACAACATATCTTACATTAGAAGAATGGACAAATATTTAGTATGAGTTATTACCCCTGTTCAAAACGTTCAATTTTTAGCTTGCAAACACTCTTGAAGGCACAATTTGACAAATTTTGACGAAACTTGGTGTGACTATTTGTAATCACCTTAGGATGAACCCTATTGAAAATCAGAGAAAATTGAAAAATATTCAATAAGAGTTTTTGTCCTTGTCCTTGTAAACACTTAAAGGAACGATTCTTGTCGGATTTTGACAAAACTTTGTAATAGTATTCAGTATCGGCCCAAAAAGTTCAAAAGGAGTGTAAAACTGAGGGTTGAATATTTCATACTGTTGATTGTAACTGTACTGCCAAATATTTAATTCAAAGTCAATGCTTCCAATGGGCGTATATTAGCCTGCCTGGCAAGCTATCTTTCATATTGTTTTTTCTATGAGCAGTTATATAATAAATTTAATCAGATTTGCCTCACTGAAAAGTTGTCATTGCATCTACAAATCAGTTTACTATTACAACATATCCTTATATTGAGTTTCTGTTAAATACGCGTTTCTTCTCATTTCCATCGTCTTGAAAGCCAGTTTGGTGTTTAAACAGAATGCAAAGTCTATCTACTTTGAAACTTGTAAAATGAACTGTAATACTAGGACTATTGGTTCAAGATGTTTATTATTAGTGGCTCTCTATACCACTTACTACTTTATACTACAGCTACAAGATTTAATTCACTGAAATAAATGTTCTTCTGAATCGGGAAACATCCATAAACGTAATAGAAAACTTGTTGAAATAGAAACTCATCTTACTTGAGGAGGAATTCTTTTGTTCCAACAAATTCAATTCCAAGAAATATTGGTTAATTTTCATGCAATTGGAATACTTGATGTATTGCACATGTTGAAATTGTAGTCATATATTGTAAAGTTTAATGACAGGATGTGATCTTCATCTTTGTTTCATCTTCAATCGAATCAACCTCAATACCATGGAATCTAATTTCATTTCAAATGCAGTAAAGTTTGTTTTAGATTAATTCGATTTCCAATGAGCGATTACAACAGAAGTACTTGGTACATTTGAGAGAAGTATAATACTCCCTTCTTCGATATCTGTTTTCAACATCAGAAAGAACACAACATCCGAAAACACACAAAATCATAAAACACACAAAATCAGAAAAAACACATCAGAAACACACACAACATCAGAAAACACACACATCAGAAAACACACAAACGAAAAAGCACACAACATCAGAAAAAAAAAAATCAGAAAACACACATCAGAAACACACACAACATCAGAAAGCACACAACATCAGAAAACACACATCAGAAAACACACAACATCAGACAGCATACAAAATAAAAAAAATCAGAAAAAAACACACACAAAATCAGAAACACACACAACATCAGAAAGCACACAACATCAGAAAGCACACAAAATCAGAAAAAACACACAAAATCAGAAAACACACACAACATCAGAAAGCACACAACATCAGAAAGCACACAAAATCAGAAAAAAACACACAGCATAAGAAAACTCACCAAATCAGAAAACACACAACATCAGAAAACACACAACATAAGAAAACACACAAAATCAGAAATCATACAAAATCAGAAAACACGCATCAGAAAAAAACACACATCAGAAAACACACCAAATCAGAAAACACACAACATCAGAAAACATACAAAATCAGAAAACACACAAATTAAGAAAGCACACCAAATCAGAAAGCACACAAAATCAGAAAACACACAAAATCAGAAAACACACAAAATCAGAAAACACACAAAATCGAAAAGATTGATATGAACACTTAACCAAATTTCATAATAAAAAAAGAATCTGTTTGAAACGCTGAAGATTCTGAAGCAAGCAAGTGAACGGTTGTACGTACAAAGGAGAAGACATTATGTCATCAGTATGGAAGACAAGTGAATTTCCATTACTATTCCAGTTGGTCCAGTTATCTCTGAAACAGATTACTTGTGAAATGATCAGCTGGATTGAATTCAGGAACATAAGTTGTTATCTTGAAACTATTGGTAGATCTATTCCTTCTTTGGGTAATGTTTTTTTTTTGTAATAATTGTATTAATGGTGTAATTTGGAACTGTAGCTATTAGATTTTTCAAAATTATCGATTGAATTCGAGACTTGTTATGAGACCATGAAACGACAGTTGCGATGATAAATATTATCACTATTTAAGGAAATCCGAGATGAAATCAATGGAAATATTTCAGTCAGAATGACATACTACTGCTATTATTTACTTTTCCATCTTTTTAAAAATTTTTTTTAGCACTACATCTTAAATTTACTGCACATTAAGTAGTTACGATTTCTGTTTGACAAGCGCAATTACTCTTAATTGCAATATTTTCTTTCTTTAAGATAGGATCTTTACTTCACACTTCTTAAATAAGAATCAGAATAAAACATTAATTCCCTGGAATCTAACTCTCCGAATAGAATAGTGGTTATGTTTTGAATTAAGTTTCTTTTCCTCTGGATCCGAGATTAGTTTCGGTACACAATGGCAATATACTTCAAAGTCACTCGTGTCAATAGGTAGAAGCTGTCATTTCGTTTCAGCTAATCCGAAACACAGTTATTGATGATGATATTCAATGATGTTCTCCAGTTTTTGTATGTGTTATCGCCTTTGCTTCTTGTAATTCACCAAGTGGCTGGGCCAGTCTCTCGAGACTACAGCTACAATTAGTGGGCAAACTTACTTAATGGAGGGGGGAGGGGGGGGGGGGGGTGGGAATTTATCCCCCTTGGAATTATCAAAGTTTAATAATTAATAAACGTAACTCCATCTGCTTTGTATAACTAAAACTTACTTATGATATACTCTAGCCTTTTGAAGACATTTAAATGATAATGGTTTAGTATTTAAGATTTTCAATGGCTCCAGAATTAATTTTTATTTTGGCAGCCATCTTTTGTATTTTTCAAGATGGCCGCTACATTGAAATATGTAAGTGACCATATCCCAGGTTATGTATGACAAAGCTGTAAGCATCATCATTAGGGCATCAAAATATCTGTTTTTGGTGGTAAGGAATTCGCTTGTGGTGTTGATATATTGTCAGCAAACTTGGATTTCTAAAATGGTCGCCATATTACAATATGACCATATCTCAGCTAATATATGACTAAACATCATCATTTGGGTATCAAAATGTGTTTTTGTTGATTAGAAATTCGCCTGTGGTGTTCATCATATTGTCAGATAATTTTTGGCAGCCATCTTGGATTGACCGCCATATAATGTTTAGTTCTTTCACAACTTACCTTTATCTCCCCCCCCCCCCCATCCCCCCACCCCCTTATTATAGATATAAGCTCCTATAACC